GATTACCGGAAAGTACAAGTTATAAAGATATTTATGCAGTAAGACAGAGCACAAGCGAAATTGAATAGAATATTTTAAGAAATGTTTACACAGACACAAAGACACGAGTTGTAATACAAAAGCATTCAATTCATTTAAGTTGTCTTGCTTCTTTATTACTATTTTCCCTCCAAAGGGGTGATAACGGTACCTGCTTGGGTTTCACAGAAATATACGTTTCAAGGATATTTCTTAAAAAAAAAAATAAAATAATATTTGAATTTTAATTAGGGGCGAGTACTGAAACAGTATAGTCGAAATAAGAAGGCAAAGTCCCCAATAAACAATGCAAACTAAAGGCATATCGTTTTTCTCGTTCTTACAAACAGAAAATATCCTGTCTTTACTCATACTTTATTCATACATCTAAAAATATTAATTAAGTTTATCTCGAATTAGAGGTCAATCGACTTCAAAAATAGTCAGCAGTGATGAGAAATGAATGCGTTATTGTTTATTTTTAATTTCATAAAAATATTTTTTTACAAAATAATACATCTGTTTTCAAATTAAAAGTTCCACCTTCTTTTCGTATCCGGGATATGGTTCTGCAACTAATATTCAAAACCTCCGCCGCTATGTTTATAATGGAGATGTTTTCTCTATTTGTTTTTTTTTCTTTCTTTGAAAATAATTAATGACATTCCAAACAAGTTTTCTACTCTGAGAATTTGAAACTTCTCGGACCATTTCGTTGAAAGTTAACAACAGAAACAACAATAACAACAACAGTAACATCAACAAAAACAACAACAACAATAAAATAATTCCAAGTGGTCTGTGTTCTGTCGAAACTGCTAGACGCGGATCGCGATTTCGATCTTTTTGGATCTCATCAGCGCGTCGCAGGCAGCTCCGACAAATACGTAATCCTAAAATGTAGCATCGTGCTACAGATGGCGTTCACTGTGTCGTTTGTAGTATTTTCGGAAGCAACAACAATAGTTACAACGAAAAAATAACTTAAACGATATATGTAGAGAGATGACTATTCGCACAAATATACCAACTAAATTAAGCCGACCCTGTAAATTTGCCTATTTTATGTAGGTACAAATGACAACACAAGCATGTCTATACTATATTTACAATCCAAGCCGACCAAGGGTTAGGTAATAAACCGCTATATCCCAAAATGGCTAAATAATAATGAATTCAACAATTTGATTAATAATTTATTATTCTATGCATACTTTATTTATTAATCGATTATTCGGGTTAATCGCAGTAATCGTTTCTTTTTGTGGCAATCTATAATTGAATCTTACATTTAATAATCGCCCAGCTTTAAATTTAACGCTCCCTCTCCCGTTTTTTATGGTACCTACGTACCTACAAATGAAATATTTTGCATGGTAGGTACTTGTTTAAGATGACTGAATGTATTTTTGATACGAAATGTAAACATTTTCTATATAAACATTCCTTCATACTAAGAAGAAATTCTTATTTTACTCAACATGTACATATATTGGCATTTCCGTTGAACTGTGTGCATGCAATACTGCCTGCAGCGAACAAATAATAAATAACCAAGAATGGAGATATTATTTCAAAGTAAATTATAACTTACTGTTCCGGTTTTGCTTGGAAAACTTTAAATAGGCATGGAGTCGTAACGTAGGTACCTGCAGGTGGATATCTGGATACAACGTAAAATTTGCAATGTATTTGACTCCATGCTATCGGATATCATGTTTTACATTCATTCTATATTGTGTAACAACCACTTGCGACTGCATGAAGTTTACTTCAACTATTTTGCTATTTATTCAATTTGCTTCTCACAATCAGAATTTTCTGGTGTAGTAAACCCTTTCAAATTAACTATCTAGATTCAGTTAATCGTTTATATACAATTGTATTGGTACGTACAAGTATGTAGTACGTGAAAATCAATACATCGATTTTCGACGGCTCGAGAGTATGTTCGCATATATGGCTAACGATCTTTCTTCTACAGACGCGAAAATTAATACATCATGCTTAAGTAACACTGTAGAAAAAGTTTTCCCGAATCCTTCAGAATAATGAAGACTATTCTAGAGAATTCGATAGCAACATAAATAAGGCGCTGGCTGACAGCCGCAGTTAGTTAGTGTTGGACAGCTGAAAAAAAAAACTTTTGGGTGTTTCATTCCCACCAGCCAGTAAGGTAGGGCGGAAAGCCCTCTTCAGCCTGCTTTCAGGAATCGTGGGAATGGGTGGGTGATGGTTCGGATGAGAAAGATGAGACGGACGAAATGAAGACAGAAGAGAATGAAAGATTATCTGTGGAATATTACTGCCCCAGCATTTGCCTAGGTGACCCAAGGAAACCACAGAAAAACTTGGACCAAGGCAGATGGACCCGGAATCGAACCGACGTCCTCCCGATTGCTAAGCAATGGTCTAAACCTCTACACTCCACCTCCTACATCTTGAAACTATGTAAATAAGGTCATCCTTCGTCTCTATCCATACTTATTTCTCTCTTTCCGGGACGGTCACCTCATATATCTGCAAAATTACCGTTTACTGCATTTTCAATACGTACTTTCACCCGCGACGTTTATATATTCATAATGAGGCGCCCTCCCAACCTTCAAGCATCTGTTTCTACCTTAAGTGAAAAAATACTGGTATGAAAAGGAAGAAAACGAAGGGAAAGAGCGAATGTAACGATAGAAGACGAAAGATTAGAAGAAATGGCTGATTTTAGGTTTCCAGGAAGTCAGGTAAGTCAGGACGGAAGAAGTAGTAGGGATATAAAGCAGAGGATAGTGCAGGGTATTGTCGCTTTCAATTCAAAGAGGTATTAGGAAGAATAGAAGAACACAAGACTCAATAGAAGTCAATAAAATATAGGCGAGATAGGTTGGTAGGACACCTTTTCAGACATGAAGGTCTAGTTAAAGACATATTAGAGGAAGAAGCAGAAGTTAAGAGGAGTAGAGGTAGACCTAGATTAGATTACTGTTCGTAAACAGTTAAGTATGTGGAATATTTTAGTTTTAGGGAAATGCGAAGATTAGCTCAGGATAGGAAAGAATGGAGGTGCGTGTCCAACCAGTCTTAGGACCGACGACCTTGTGATGATGAAATAAATAGAGCAGTACTAGGAAATAATCGCGTAATAATAATTGAGGCACCATAACTGTCTGAATTGCATAACTTTTAAAACAGTTTTCAGCTGTTTTTTATTATTGAGGTGCCCTGCATAGTTATAAATTGATTTTTGTTTAATTTATGGCATTTATGTCTAGTCTCTACAGACAATAAGATAATTAAGAAAAAGGTTAGTATCAAATGGGTAAATCCCACCACAAAAAAAGAGAAAACTCGATCGACGGCAATGCGGTGGTCTCATCATTTACACATTATTCGTTTATTTATGTTTTGGATTTTATGTCTTTACCCCCCGCATTAGTACTCCTTAGCTTCCAACATGAAACTATCTTATAGTGTTGAATTGTTCTATAAGGTCATCCTTCGCCTCTGTCCATACTCATTTCCCTCTTCCTGCGATCTTCAATTCATACTTTCACCCCCTATGTTTAATATATACGTAATAAGATGCCTTCCCTACCTTCAAGCATCTATTTCTACTTCAAGTGATGGTCTCCAGCAGACGAAAATTTTTTTGAAATAATATTTCTCTGGATCCCCAATTCTAAATAATTACCGAAAATATTTAGCCAATACTTTAATTTTGTTATTATTTTACGTACCACCTGTACATTGAATCACCCTGTATATCTAATGTTGGCTTATTGGTTCCGAAAAGGCCACTTTGCATGTAATGAAAACGATGTAGGCGAGTAGAAACTGTTTTGTATGTATGTAGGGCAACAGCTCATACAAACTTAATCCTTTAAGCTGCTATTATTGGTGAATGGCAATTTCGGAATCAAACACACGTAAATCTATACGATTTCGATCCTAATTTTACGTGAGACGTACCAAGGCATTTACCTATTACCGGTACACCTACGGCATGCATGATTACGGATAATAAAATTTAATCTTTACAAGCACAGGCAAGATTTCTAATAAAATTTGTGCTGACACGTTCAACTTATAATTCAAATATAGGTACTGACGTGAAATACTGACTTCAATAAATAATGAGGTTGTGTTAATTTTTGAAGTGAAACTTCTTTGGGCTCGATGGGAGTAAAATCTTAAGGTCATGAAACGACACGTTTTGCAACGTTTTGTCTCGCGAAGCGATAGGATATGAGAATAGACAGGCGCGCATTGGCATATCGGTATTACAGTTAATTGTTAGTGACCGGCATCTCATATATTATAACATAATGTATATTCACTATACTATAGCGCTAAATTAATATTTTGGTTATATCTGTGAAGTTATATTACAGTAAGTGTATTACAGTAAATGTTTATTTAACAACAGTTAATATTTATTTAAGAGTGACTATTATTATGTATTTATTCTAATTCCTTGTTATTGATAGTTTACGGTTTTTTAAGTACTTGGAAAAATAAACGGATATATAGCTGTGAGCGATATTGTTTTATTTAATTAGGTCCAAGAATATTTAACAAAAGACGATAACTCAAAAACTTCTAGAACACCATAGAAAATTAATAACTGTAAACTTAAAATGTGTATTTCGATTCGTGACAGCTTCTTTTAAATTAATTAATTTATACAATAATCCGAGGTACGCAGCAAAATAACTCATAAGTAATGTCCTGCGGTTTTGTCCTATTTATTAGCCTTGTTAACTTACTTATTTATACTACCCTCCTCCTACTACAATTTTAAGGCAAGTACGAGGGCGGTTCAATAAGTACTTGTGTTTGAAGACAGAGGACGTTTCTGAGGGAGGTTGGTGCTACCCTCGTGTAATACCGTCTCTCAAACGACGCCAAAACAAATTTCAGACTGATTGATAGGTTAGTTTGGATTTGGCAGCCATTCGAATGAGAAGTGTTTCGTGATTTTCGCTAACATGGAAAAAGAGCGGTATCGTTCGGTAACTCGCTTTTTGTTTTTGGATAGGAAAAAATTCGGGGAAATAAAAGCAAAGTTGGATGCTGTTTATGGGAACACTTCACCATCTATGACCACAGTTAGATATTGGTTTAACGAATTTAAACGTGAGCGAATATCCGTTTTTGATGAAGAACGACCAGAACTCCCGGTAGACGTGGTTACCGAGGAAACCATTGAAAAAGTCTACGATATGATTCTCGCTCATCGACGAACGAAAGTGCGCGAAGTAGCAGAGGCCGTGGGTGTGTCGACTGGAACGGCAATTAATATTTTACAGGATAAGTTGGCGATGAAAGAATTGTCGGCCCGATGAATGCTGCGATTACTCATGGTGGACAACAAGCGGGTGCCGCTGTTAACTTGGAAGAAGTGTTTGGAGCAATTTAAGTGAGATCCGAAGGACTTTTTGGGTCGAGTTGTTACCGCCAATGAAACCTGGATTCATCATTACAAACCAGAAACCAAGGGACCATCAAAACAATGGATTTCTCCCGGTGAATCAGCTCCAAAGAAAGCGAAGACGGTCCCATTGACCGGAAAAGTCATAGCGACGATTTTTTGGGATGCGAAGGGCGTCATCCTCTTGGATTTTTTATAAAAACGAAGAACGATCACTGGACAATACTACAGCGAGTTATTTGACCGCTTCGACAAAAACTTGAAGGAGACACGGGCGCATTCGGCTGAAACGAAGGTGCTTTTTCACCACGATAACGCACCTGCACATTCATCCGGAATTGTCGCCGCCAAATTGCATGAATTGCGTTATGAGTTGCTGCTGCACCCCCCGTACTCACCCGATCTGGCTCCCTGCGACTTCTTCTTGTTCCCTAACATAAAGAAATGGTTCGCGGGAAAAAAGTTTAGCTAAAACGAGGAAGTCATCGCCGAGACTGGGGCGTATTTTGGAGAGTTCGGCAAATCCTATTTTTTGGAGGGGTTAAAAACATGGCAGGAACTTTAGGAGAAATGTATCTTTCTAAAAGGGGACTATGTTGAAAAATAAAAAAAAAATAATTAAATAAATGGTGTCTTCATTTCTAACACGGGTACTTATTGAACCGCCCTCGTACCTATGCAGTAACAGGGAATTTTATATCTTCTTTATGTTTTCCACTTGCATAGATTTTAATGCGGTGCGCTGCACATTTTGTGTTTCCTTTTGAATTTATAACTACTTCTTGCTTTTTACATTCCATACTATTTAGGTCCCTTTGTTATCAATGCAAATGAATTCTTTTCGGGTTGCGTTTTAATTTTTGATGTTTCCTTACAATTAACATTCAGACGTCATTAATGTTTAATTAAACCGATCAGTATTAACTACATCTCAACTTTACGATAGCCAACAAAGTAAGTTTTCCGAAGAATACTAACAACTTTTACTGAAATATTGGCTCAAACTCTTCAACTATAAGGAAATACGGAAATGTGTGTTTTAAACTAAACATAATTAACGATAACGTAGCTTTTATTTGTGATAGTTCGCCCAAGTTGTGAATAATAAAATCAGCAACCAAACAAATATTTATAAAACAAACTAATTTGTATTGTAAAATTCTTAAAAGAAAAACTTAATAATATAAGTGCAAAATATTAATAAAAAGAAATACAGTTCATAAAGAAATAAATGGTTAATCTGCCAGATAAGATAACCTTGATTGGGCCCGGATCAAAAATGTAACGCCTTAGAACATGTGATTCCAGACAGGCAGCCAAACTTGGTCCGGATTGGGCTGACCTGAATGGACCTGATTAGGTTATACAATTTGACAATAAACAGGTTACCTGATTTGGGGCGGATAAGATATGTATATGTAGCGCCATAAAACATTGATTGTAAACAATCCTGGTCCATATGAACAATTACCTATGTTATCCTGATTCGGTTATATCATTTGGTCCTGATAATTTACCTGATATCAGATAAGAAATCCCCATTAGGGCCAAATCAGAGCTATAAAGGGCATGTCATTAAAAGATTAGAATAAGATAACTTCATCAGGGTCATATCAGTCTTAATAGGGCATGTCGTAATAGGAGATGCCCTAGGACACCCAGATTGGGCCCGGATGCTGATATGACAAGCCCTAACAAGCCGGAAGAGAACACAGCATCGATATGCAGTTAATGCTAGTTTACTCACTACATAACTTAATTTTTTTTTGTTTCTTTTGCGCTCGTACATTTACACAGGATAGTGCTATCTGTAGTGTACTTATTTACTTTATTTATCGTTAGTTTAAACATCATGTGTAGTATAAAATGTATGTGTAGACAAATGGCGCTGTAAATGCCATCTGTAGTACAGTGCTACATTTTAGGATTACGTATGCTTCAGCAAGGTCCATTTAAATATATGGATATCTACTTGCTGAAACGAATCCCGGCGTAGCTCACCTCAACGTGGTAGGCACGTTACCGAAATCGAATAAAATAATTCGAAGTGGTCTGTATTCTGTCGAAACTGCCAGACGCGGATCGCGATTTCGATCTTTTTGGATCTCATCAGCGGGTCGCAGGCATCTCCGACAGAACACAGACCAACTTTTACCTGCTGCCTTAACAGCGCGTTTTAGAAAATACGGCAAATCATGTGTAGTGTTAACTTATTTGTTTTTAAGATTAAACTTTCAATAATCGACAGTTCTCCATCTATGTTTTTTGAGTTTTTATCGCGCTAAACACCTATGTTGCCAATTCACGTACATGACCGGCTTCGAATTAAAACTCATGATTTTCTTAAAAATAATTTGCCCTTAACTACGCTGTAAAACTCACTGTGCGATTTTTTATTGTATCTAGTGTACACTCCCCAAGGCTAGGCATTTATTTATGTTGCAACCTGTATACTGTGTCTGGGGTCAGACCATTTGTCTAGATTTTAAATACAAATTTAAAATGATTATTTAAAGACGCTTTTATATTTCAACGTGAGAGTTTAATACTGCGATCCTTCTTATCTAATACTTGTTGAAATTCCTACTGGTAATCCCCAAACATTGTAGTCTATTATAACCTGGAATGAAGGTATGTGTGAGTCGATATTTAATATTGACAACTTATATTCTTGTTTATGCTTATTAGAAATCTGTAAAACACAAAAATATGAAACAAGCTGAAAAGGTAATTTTAAAATTATCGAAAAATACCGTTGCAGTCGCACTCGAGATTGATAAGTGAAATGAGGATCAAATTCCATTAGGTACCTACTGTAATTGCACAGGGAATTTACACTTGGGTAGACAACAGGCAATAAGGCATGTGCACTCGATTAGTAAATACAATGTGAAGGACCCTGATGTACAAAACCAACCATGCACGGTAATCGAAGGTTTCTATGGACACCAGATCCGTTTTTCGGTCAGAAATCGAGGGACAAAGTACAAAAATCATTCTTTACGTAAATACGACTTTTTGCACATTTCTAAGTGTGTGTGATTGTCATGTGAATAGAAGAACCACACAGATATTAATGCCTCCTTGATTCTGTCATCTCTCAGCATTTACAAAAACTTTTATTGTACTAGTGTGATCCATTCCTAGCTTATAAGATCAACGACGTGGACGTGATGGGTGTTTAATCTTTTGTGTGCATGTATATAACGTTTTGAGACATAACCAAATCAAGGAGGCGCAAGTATTTGTGTGTTGGCTGTATTCATTTGACACTCAATTGCACACACACGCATTTACAAATATGCAAAGAGTCATTTACGTAAAAAACAATTTACAGACCTACCGAGTGGCATGGCCTAGAGGTCTAGACCATTGCTTAGCATTCGGGAGGACGCCGGTTCGATTCCGGGTCCGTCTGCCTTGGTCCAAGTTTTTCTGTGGTTTCCTTGGATCACTTAGGCAAATGCTGAGGCAGTAATATTCCACAGATA